CTGCTCACAGGCTTTTAAGACCCCAGATGCTACTCACCAAGGTAGAATGTAGAACATTGTCTTTACAAACTGTGTTATGCCAATTGAGCTAGATGTTCCCTGAGACCATGGTCCCCACAGCCCTCCATGGGTTTTTGTTTTTGTTTTTGCTTTCTGGACATCCAGTTGTTGTAGCCTCATTTGTTTAAAAGACTATGTCCTTAGTCCACTGAATTTCTTTTGCACTTTTGTTGAAAATCATTTCATTACGTATGTGTGGGTCTATTTCTAGGTTATCTGTTCTGTTCCATTAATATATGTGTCCTTTGGCCAATACCATACTGCGTAGTTTATTGTAGCATTATAGTAAGTATTGAAATCCGATAGTGTGAGTCCTCCAGCTTTCTTCTTATTTTTCAGAATTCCTTTGGGTCTTCTACTTTACCTTTCTAAATAAATTTTAGAATCAGCTTCTTGATTTATACCAAAAGGGAACTGGACTTATTAGGATTTTATCTGAATCTGGAGCTCACTTTGGGGAAAACAGACATCTTAACAGTATTGAATACTTTAATACATGAACGTGATATGTCTGTCCATTTATTTAGGTCCACTTTGATTTCTTTCATCAGTGATTTGTAGTTTTCAGCATATGGGTCCTGTGGATATTTTGTTAGATTTTTACCTAAGTATTTCATGGTTTTTGGTGCTATTATAAATGATGCTTTTTTAAAATTTTGATTTCTAATTGTTCGTTTGTAGTATTTAGAAAAACAATTGATTTTTGAATGTTGACATTGTTTCCTACAACATTGCTAGAGTCACTTGTTAGTTCTAGTAGTTTTTTATTTTTTTGTTTATTCCTTATATTTTCTATGTAGACCATTATGTCATCTGAATAGAGAGCCTTATTATTTCTCTTTCTTTTCTGTATGCCTTTCATTTCTTTCCCTTGCTCTATTATACTGGCTAGCACATCCAATATGATTTTGAACAGGAATGGTGAAAGCAGACGTTTTTGCCTTGTTCCTAATCTTAGTGGGGGAACATTGTCTTTCACCATTAAGTAAGGCTTTACAGATTCCTTTTTCTAGTTGAGGAAATTTCTTCTAGTGCTAGTTTGCTGAGAGTTCCTGCAGCATTTAAAAAGATTCTTGCCTAGTATTCTATGGTGAAATAAATTTATGGTTATACTGTAACTTATTTAGACAAATTCCCATTTTTGGACATTGGACTTGTTTGCTGCGAACGGATATGATGAAGGTTATTGTGGCTAAAATCTTTTTACCTATCCTTAAATATGAATAAATTTCTAAAAGTATACTTACGGGTTCAAAGGGCACATTCAGTTTTAAATCTTTTGATGTACATCGCCAGATTGCCCTTAGAAATGTACCAGGTGATGCTTCTACTGCCAGCGAAGTGTGAGAATACCTAGGTCCTAGAATTCTCAGCAGTCGTGCATAGAGGTGGTGTAATTTCTGAGTGATTGTTAAAAATAGGTGGATTTAATTATTTCGGTGACTAGTTCACAATCATTGCTAATGATTTGAGAAATCGAACTTATAAAACAAAATATTTATCTTCACAGAAAGCCTCTTACTGTCACAGTTGCTGTAATGCTCTTATCTTTTTTGTGGCCCTTTTAGGAACTTTTCAGAAAAGTTCGAAGTATCTTAAATAAATTGACACCACAGATGTTCAACCAACTGATGAAGCAAGTGTCAGGACTTACTGTTGACACAGAGGAGCGACTGAAAGGAGTCATTGACCTGGTCTTTGAGAAGGCTATTGATGAACCCAGTTTCTCTGTGGCTTACGCAAACATGTGTCGATGTCTAGTAACGGTAAGAAGAGAGGAAGGAGTAAAACCAGAAATTTCCAAGAGGTATATTCTCCCCTCACTACACATTCTTCCCAGAAGTGTTATTGGGGCAACGTAAAGGGGAGAATATATTTTTAGTACTTATTAATATAATATCCTCATTGTATGGAAAGAATCTTGCTTTATTAAAATATATACTCTCCTCTGCAGTGGGTATAGTTGCTAGACTGAAATAGGCATGATATGGTCTCATCAGAATTGAAGAAGATTGAGTAAGGTTTAAATTTGTAATGTGAAATTGTTTTGGGCAACCAATTTTTCCTTGGACAGGATCTTATAAAGATAAGGCAAATGCTTACTTTTACATTTAATTAAATTCAAAATTGAAAAACATGTTGGTTTTCATTCCAGCCTCTGTGAAAATGAAAGAATTGTTGTCTTATGGTTGAAAACTGATAATTTCATCTCTTGGAAACCATTAGATTTCTTTCTCCTTACATTGTCCACAACCATTTAATCTTCACAGCCTGTCGCATCTAGGGCAAGACAGAATGGGAAACCAGAGAACTTCTGACTAGTGTTCATTGCCCTCCTCTGTTCCGCAGTCACGAAACTGCCATGTACCATCTGTAGTTTTCCTTCCTTTTATTGTTACCAAAGTCCTTGTGTCTGAAATGTGTGTTTTTCTTTTATATTTGGGTTTCTTCTTAAGTGTCATTACTCATTGTCATTGTGCCTTGCTTGAAAATGCAAAATTCTGTCATTCTACCAATATTTATTGAGTCCCTATGTCAAAGGTAGGTAAGTCTTTCGGGGAGTGAAAAAGTACATATTCTATTTTTAAGGAACTCAAAATCTGTACTGAAAACTTGTAAGGCATTCTGTGATATTGCAGTGTATTGATGCGTAAATGAATGGTTTAAACCAAAAATCATGTCGGAGGAAAAAGAAATCACTATGTTGGTGGGAGAGAGAGAAACTCTTATGAAGCAAATGAAGTTTGAGTTAGACCTAGGAGGCTGGGGAATACTCTTTGACAAGTAAAAGAGAAGGAAGTGGGTGTTCCAGACAGGTTCAAGACTGAGGCTAACAAGCATAGCATTATGTAATGTTTACAAACATTGGCTTTGGAGTCTCCCAGTTCTAGGTTTAAAATTAAACTTTAAAATTTAAATTTAAATTCCTATTTTACCATATGCTAACTTTATCAGCTTAGAATAGTTACATAACCTCTTTAAACCTCAGTTTTTAATTCGTAAGATTAATTCATACAACTTAAAGTTACCGTAAGGATAAAATAAATGAGATTTTGCATGTAAAGCTCCTAGCTCAGTACTTAGCCTGTAGTAAGCCCTAAATAAATTTGAAACTATGTTTGTGGTGGAAAAGAGTCTAGGGCCAGATTGTGAAGATCTTGAAATTCTGGCTGTAGAATGAAGATGATTATAATAATAGAAACCTTCTATTCAGCACATATAAGTTTCAGTGTGGGTTTATATACATTATTTGTAATTGTTATTATAACCCTGAAAGATATTAGTAGCTCCACTTTATTGAATCAGTAACCGAGGCTTTGTTGTTGTTGTTGTTGTTAAGTGCCATCATGTCAGTTCCAACTCATAGCGACCCTGTGAACAACAGAACGAAACACTGCCCAGTCCTGTGCCATCCTCACAGTCATTGTTACGCTTGAGCCCATTGCTGCAGCCACTGTGTCATTCCATCTCCTTGAGGGTCTTCCTCTTTTTCTCTGACTCTCTACTTTACCAACCATGATGTTCTTCTCCAGGGACTGAGCCCTCCTGAGAACGTCCTTCCCCAGGGACTGAGCCCTCCTGATAACACGTCCAAAGTATGTGAGACATAGTATCACCATTCTCACTTCTGAGGAGCATTCTGGTTGTACTTCTTCCAAGAGAGATCTGTTCGTTCTTTTGGCAGTCTACGGTGTATTCAGTACTCTACGCCAGTACCACAATTCAAAGGCGTCAATTCTTCTTCGGTCTTGCTTATTCATTGTCCGGCTTTCGCATGCATATGAGGCAACTGAAAATGCCATGTCTTGGGTCAGGAGCACCTTAGTCTTCAAGGTGACATCTTTGCTTTTTCACACTTTAAAGAGGTCTTTTGCAGCAGATTTGCCCAATGCAGTGCATCTTTTGATTTTTGACTGCTGCTTCCATGGGTTGATTGTGGATCTAAGTAAAATGAAATCCTTGACAACTTCAGTCTTTTCTCCATTTGTCATGATCTTGCTTGTTGGTCCAGTTGTGAGGATTTTTGTTTTCTTTATGTTGAGATGTAATCCATACTGAAGGTTGTGGTCTTTGATCTTCATCAGTAAGTGCTTAGATAAGATAAATAACTTGTTCAGGGTCACATAACTAGTAAGTGGCAGTACTAGAATACACATTAGGTTTTACTCAGTTGCTTGCACTTTACTCGGTGCCATGTTGCCTTCTAAAATATCATAGTTATCTAAAAGCCAAGTAATTTGCTATCTTATGACCCTCATTTTTATTGTGGCAGCCATGACATCTTGTGCTCACTTTTTAGAGCTAGGACTAGAACCCAGATGTTCTGACTCATACTTTAGTACTCTCTCCCAATTCTGATTTTTTTCTGTAGGCAGTAAAGAGTTGTTGATATTTTTAGTAGAGGTATGTCATTGATGAAAATTACCTTTGAAAAGGCCTGGCAGTAGTGCAAGTTGGTTTGGAATAGGATGAGATTATAGGCAAGCCAACCACTTTCGAGACTTTTGTTCTGATCTATGCTTCTTTAGTAAACATTTACAAAGCTTTATTGGAGTATTTTAAATTACCAAATAACCTACTGGAACAAGTTAAACAGCATAGAGATATACTCAGAAAAAATTAATACTTTCTACTTGGAGTCCCAGCCAGTTAAACTCTCCTGTCCCCCAAGGCAATTAATATGAAGAGTTTAGATGCATCTTTGCACAGTTTTCTCTGTATTCATAAAATCGTATAAAAGCATATACAGATAAGCATATATAAAGAGAGAGTTATTTTTTGTTTTTGTTTTTGCTTTAATTGGATTATATCCTATGCATTTGTTTTGCAATTTGCTTGTTGTACTTAACAATTCATGTTTTGGGCATCCTTCCAGGTCATTACACACAGATTTTACTCATACGTTTTCAGTAGTTGCATAATATTTTATCGTATGTATATACCACAGTTCATCTAGCCATTTCTTTATTGCTGGAGGTCATGTTGGGTCTGGTTTTTTTCTTTTGTTTGTTTGCAACCACAAGCAGTGCTGTGATAAACATTCAGGTATATTTATTTTCACATGCTGGAGCTTTTATTTCTTTAGAATAAATTTCCCAAAGTTGTATCATGTACCAAAGGGCATGTTTTTTTTAAGTGTGCTGGGGTGGCACAAATGGTTAATGGACTTGGATGCTAACTGATAGGATGGTGGTTCACGTCCACCCAGACTCACCTCAGAAGAAAGGCCTAGCCATCTACTTCTGAGAAATCAGCCATTAAAAACCCTATAGAGCACAGTTCTACTCTGACACACATGGGGTTGCCATGAGTTGGGATCAACTCGACAGCAACTGGTGTTATGTTTTTAACCTTTTAAATTTTTTTATTGAAGCATAACAGACGTACATGCTTTCTGGGGAGAAAATATCCCTGATTGTAGCATTTGCCAAATTTAATGATGTAGATATTCCCATCATGGCTGCTTTTAAGCTACCAATAGTTTGACAATTGACACAGAATTCCTGACTATTTAAAAAAATGGCCCTCCTAAAGTAGTATGAACCGACTTCACACCACTATAACATGTATACAGAAAAGTGTACAAATCATAACTTCACAGCTCAATTTATTTCAGTAAATAAATTTCTGAAATAAAACTATACCCTTCCCTCTTCTTTAAAGGGAATCATTGTCCTAACTTCTGACACCATAGCTAATCTACTTTGGAGGTACTGAGGGCCTGAAGTGAAGTGGTGATAATGGAAATGGAGCCATGGATTCCTACTACAAATCAAACACAAAAATCAAACCAGTCATAGGAGTAATGAAAACCTAAACATGAAAGGTAAACTTTTAGAATAAAATTGAAGAGACTATCTTTGTGAACGTAGAATAAGGAGGAATTTCTTCAACACTCAAAATGAACAATCCACAAAGGAAAAAATTATCAAGTTTGACTGTTAAAATTTGCAATCTTTGGTGCAGCAAAATACATCATAAATAAAATAAAAAAATACACAGTCAGGAAGAAATCTATTTGTAATATTTGGATGCATATAACTTACAAAGTACTGGAATCCTGAATATTAAAAAAAAAAGGCAAATCAATAAAAACAGCCCAATTAAAAAATGAGCTATTTATGAAAATTGAAATCCATTGGCTGATAAACTCGTGAAAACATACTCAGTGTTATTCATTATTAATGAAATGATAAGATAAACCACAATTCTGTGTAATTCACACCTATTTGACGAAAAAAATAAAACTAAGGGTTCACAAAGATGAACGTTACCACTTTGGAGAGTGATTGAAGAATATTGTTGAAGATGCTTATATATTACTACCTAGCAATTTAACTTCTTGGCATATACCCCTCAGAAAATTCGTAGACACACAGAGAATCATGTAAGAATATTTATTCAAAAAATATATATTTATTCATATTTTGGTTTTAATAGTGAATAATAGGAAACAGCTGAAATATGACTAAACACGACAATAAGAGTATACCACAATTTAACTAATTACTAGCATTATGTGAAAAGGAAGAGGCCCTAGATAAGCAAAGCATTACTGAAGAAAAAGAACAAAGTAGGAGGCCTCACACTACCTGATTTCAGAACCTCCTATACAGCCACAATAGTCAAAATAGCTTGGTACTGGTACAACGACAGACACATAGACCAGTGGAACAGAATCAAGAACCAAACATAAATCCGTCCACCTATGGCCAGCTGATCTTTGAGAAAGGATCAAAGTCTGTTAAATGGGGAAAAAAACAGT